AATGAGAATACCTTTTGGGAAAGCAAGGCAATGTGAAATTAAATGGAAGCATTAGTTCTACTTATATCATAGTGGGTAAATTCTACTACCAGTCATTCATCACCTTAAACGAAATTGGGTTAATACATATCATATTACTTATTTTTCGTTTATAAGTAGTATGACCCAAATACCTTCATGGCAATGTGGCGTAGTGGTTGACGTGTCGAGAAATGCAATGGAAACGTCACTTCTACTCATGTCATTGTGAGTAGATTGAACTGGCAGTTGTGCATCAGCTTGAACGAGATAGAGCCACGATAACTCACATTTCTGACTTGCTGGTAGCCTCGGAGAGCGAATGCAAAATGGTCAACATTTGTAGCCGCGAGCAAAATCTCACCTTCTCGACAAGGGCGCCCGCCTCGGTCAGCGCCTCGATGGCATCCAAGTTGTCCAGACGATGTGGTAGGCCAGCGTCGTGCACAAATGCGTACCATTCCTCGATGGCGCCGGCAAGTCGGTTGTTCTCGCTCGTCAGACTCTCCAGCCGAACGCCCAAATTGGCGTCGATCTCGGCCAAAAGAGCCGCCTGTCGTTCGCGGATGGTTCGGATGGCCTCCTTGCTCGCCTGATTCACGGCGAAGTAGAGCTCACAGACGTACGTCTGGCAGATGCGCTGACTCGTCAGCAACACCTCCAGTTGCTCGGCCTTCTCCTGCGCCTCGGCCGAGTCCTCGTCCAACTGGCGTTGGTAGGCCTCGATGGCCTGTTTCATCGAGAGCACGTCGTGATTCGCATGGCCCTCTCCATCTCCATTTTCGTCCTCGTCGTCGTCGTCGTCGTCGTCGTCGTCGTCGTCGTCGTCGTCATCGTCGGCGTCGGCTCGACGTCGTCGCGTCACCGGCGTCGGTCTGAGGCCGCCGACGCTGTCCGTCTCTCGGCCGGCGTCGAAGGTACAGACGAGGCAGACGAACGTCTGGCATGTGCGACAGTAGAAACGACGCACCTCACGAGGATGCCGTTGGCATCGCATCGCGTCCAACTGGTCGACGCGGATGATGACATGTGCCGCGGTAACCGGCATTCCGGCGTGCAACAGTCGACATTTGGCGCACAGTCGCTTGGCGCAGTCGAGACAGGCCGCCTCGGCTCGCCGCGCCTCTCGCATCGGCTCCTCCGAGTCGGCCAGTTTGCCGTTTCGAGCCCCGGGCCCCGACGACGCCTGACGACGTTGACGACGCTGTCCTCCGGCCGGCCCCAGCCCCGGCCCCGGCCGCCGCCGACTTCGCTGGCGCACATTTC